ACAATTTTAATATTTTATTTATTTATTCACTGGTCTATAGTTAATATTCGAATTAATTTATTTCTTTTGTTTGCCATTTTGTTTTTTTATTTTTTTTTTTTTCATTTTACTAATACTACACATTAGAGTTTTTTATTTAATATTAAATATATTTTTTTTTTGCAAGTGTTTGTTGGTTGAAATAAACATTTAGTTTTTTAAATAATTATTGTTTTTTAATTTATATATAGTTTTTTTTAATATATATAATTTATTATATATTTAAGTATGTAAATAGTATAATGTTGAGTTTTTTTTACTTTTATTTGAATTGTTGTTGTTTTCATTTGTTAAATGTTTATGTTTAATAATACTATTTATTTTCTTTCTTTTTTTGTTAATATAAGAAACTTAAGATTTTTATATGCAAAATTATAATATTTATATTTAGATTTTTTTTAGTTTTTAAATTATATTCTATATAACAAGCAAAACAAAAAAAAATTAGTTTTAAAAAAAATCCTTGAGTTTGAAATCATAATTAGAATGTTTCATTTATAATTATAAATTAAAAACAAATATAATATTTATATTAAGTTAAAATGGAAAAGTTAAAACTATGTACAATTAAAATATTTATTTAACAAATTATTTTTTAAAAATAATAATAATATTTGAAGGAAAAATTTTAAAACAGTTGTAGATGGAATTCTAAGAAATGCTTAAAAGTTTTATTTCATAAAAAAAAGTTTCAAAGTTTTTTAAGTAAAATTAGAAAGTGGCATTAAATATTTTTAGACTTCAGGTAGGAATCAAACTTCTGACAACTAAAATCTTCAAATTTCTTCAAACTCCAAAAAATTGTCTTTGAAATTTTGTTAAAAAAGCTTTGTTTTACACAAATTGCCTTAAATGTAAAGCTTAGCTTAAGCAATTAAGTTTAAGTTACCACAGCTTTCATTTTAAGCTTTCTTAAGGCAGTAAATGAAGCTTTTTTTATCATACTCCAACCGATTTTACTTGGAGCTTTGTTTAAATGCTTTGTTTTATAGAAATTGCTTCTCGTGTGTGTCTTAGTTGAAGGCATGAACATTAAGTTACAACAGCTTTTATTTAAAGCTTTCTTAAGGCAGGAAACGAATCTCTAAACAATGAATATAGCATGAACTTGCATGAACGGCAAATTATTTCATTTTGAACTTTGTTTAAAAGCTTTGTTTGTGGTATATAGCTTAAGAAATGAACTTTAAGTTACATCAGCTTTTATTTAAAGCTTTCTTAAGGCAGGAAACGAACCTCTAAAACTTAAATTGTTAAATTTTCTTTTAAATTCCAAACGATTTTATTTTAATCTCTGTTATAAAACCTTTGTTTTAGACAAATTGCCTTAAATGTAAAACTTAGCTTAAGAAATGAAGTTTAAGTTACCACAGCATTCATTTTAAGCTTTCTTAAGGCAGTAATTGTAACTTTTTTTCTCACACTTCAAACGATTTTACTTGGAGCTTTGTTTAATAGAAATTGCTTAACTTATAGAACATAACTTATGAAATGAACTTTAAATTAAAATAGCTTTTATTTAAAGCTTTCTTAAGGTTGGAATCGAAGCTCTAAACTGTAGACTGTGGGATATTCTTTAAAATTTTATTAAAAAGCTTTGTTTTATAGAAATTGCTCTACATGAACTTTAAGTTACAATAGCATTTATTTAAAGCTTTCTTAAGGCAGTAACGGAGCATCTAAAACTTAAATTATTAGATTTTTTTCAAAATCCAACAACTTTTACTTTGAACTTTGTTAAAAAAGCTTTAATTTTGAAACTTAGCTTTATAAATTAAGTTACAACAGCTTATATTATATAAAGCTTTCTTAAGGCAGTAATGTCTAAAACCTTAATTGTCAGATTTTCTTTGAAATCCAACAGCTTTTACTTTGAACTTTGTGAAAAAAAAGCTTTGTTTTAGGGAAATAGCTTTATAAATTAACTTTAAATTACAACAGCTTTTATTTAAAGCTTTCTTAAGGCAGTAATGGAACCTCTGAAACTTAAATTGCCAGATTTTCTTTGATACCCAACAGTTTTTACTTTGAACTTTGTTAAAAAAGGTTTCTTTTATAGAAATAGCTTTAATTGTTAAACTTAGCTTAAGAAATTTACTTTAAGTTACAACAGCTTTAATAAATAGTTTTCAAACTCCTAAAGATCTTATAATAAACTTTGTTAAAAAAGCTTTATTTTATAGAAATTGCTTTAGACATGAACTTTAAGTTACAAAAGCTTTTATTTGAAACTTTCCTAAAAAGCTTTTTTTTAATTTTTTCTCATAGAGCAAGTGATTGCCTTACTATGTAAATGGCTTTTATTTTAAGTTTTATTTAAAAGCTTTTTTGCTAAAATTAATTTAATAAGCTTTATAACTATTAAAAGTTTTACTCATTTAAAGAAGTTTCTTAAAAAGAAAGATATTTAAAAAAAACCTAAACATTTTCAAAATGTTTCTATTTTTCTTCTATCTTGTTGCATTATAGCTTTTTACAGACAAGCTTTAACACTTATGCTCATGTTTTTTATATTGGGTAAAATAACAAAGAACTCAGAGAACTCAAAGACCTTACTCATCCTGCTTCAAGTTTACCCTATTATTAGTACCTCTAATCTAAACCTTAAATTTTAGATTAGGGACTATTATTTTCAATATTTTGTATTAAAATTGTAGTATAAATTTAAGCTAAAGCTTTTAAAAGCTTTCTTATGAACATTTTTTTTACTACTAAACAAAATATTTAGGGAAAAAGCTTAATGTTAAACTTGTGACTTTATAAAGTAAGTACATTGATTTTCTTAAGTAAACTAAAACTCAATTAAAACTCTAGGTTACTTTAGGTAAAGCTTTTTTGAAAAGCTTTTTAGGGAATATCTTTGGAATAGGGTTAAAACGATTTGAAAATCTTAACTTTAAAACTAATTTTAAAGGAATCTTTAAAGAAAATTGAAATCACATACGTAAAGCTCTTATATACAGGATTCAAGACATTGTTTCCAAGCAAGCTTTTTTAAGAGCTTAAAGCTTTACTCTAGGTTCAAATTTGCACTCGAAGGACCATAAACCTTATGAAAAAGAGCTTTAATTGTATAAAATATATAAATATTTCTTAAAATACGGTTCAAACTACTATTAAAGTTTTGAAATACAAATGTCTTTCAGATAATTTACAAATTCTTTTAGAAAATTTCTATAAATTGAACGCTAAAGCTTTATTAATATAATTTAATACAAATTTTCAGAAAATTTTAAACCATTTTGGTGTTTAACGAGAGTTTTTACAGTTCATTTGTGTAGATTTGTTTAAATTTTAATAAAGTGGAGAAATAAGGGCTCGTAGGACCATGAAATTTATGAAAAAATCGTGCAAATGCTTTAATTGAGTAAAAATTTTTAACCTTTAAATAAATTTGGTTTTAACGAGTATAAACGTTTTGAAAATGTTTTAAAATACGATTGTCTTAAAGCAAATTTACAAATTCTTTTAGAAATTGCCCGCTAAAGCTTTATTAACATAATTTATTAAAAATTTTAAACCATTTTGTTGTTTAACGAGAGTTTTTACACTTTATTTGTATGAATTTGATTGAGTTTTAATAGATTATGGAAATATGGGCTCGAAGGACCAACGAATTTATGAAAAAGTGGTTGAAATGTAAAAAACTGCTTTAATTGAATAATATTGTGGAAATAAGGGCTCGAAGGACCATCGAATCTTTGAAAAATAGCTGGAAATGTATAACACTGTTTTATTTGAATAAGACCTGATGATTTTTCTCGAATTATTTGTAAAGATTTGTTTAAATTTGATTAAATTAAGGAATTAAGGGCTCGCAGGACCATAAAATTTTATGAAAAAGTCGTGCAAATGCCTTTAATGAGTAAAACTTTTGAAATGCCTTTAATGAGTAAAACTTTTGAAATTTGGTTTAAACGACCACAAAAGTTTTAAAAATGTTTTAAAATACGAATAACTTAAAGCTAAGTTTAGAAAATTTCTAAAAATTGACCTCGAAGGCTTAATAAATACAATTTACAACAAATTTTCTGGGAATCTATTCAAAATTTTAACAATTTCTTTCTTTACAAAGAAACTTAACTTAAAACTCTATCCACAACTGTTTAAAATTTAGTTTTAATTCTTTTTTTTTAATATAATTATAATATCAATTATAAAATATAATTTAAATTTCTTTTCTTTTATACCACAAAAAGTATTACTTTTCTTTCAATTTGGTTTTAAATTTTAGTTTTTCTTTTAAATAGATAATCAACAATAAAGCCTGTAAATTTTATGTGTTTTTTGTTTTTTTGTTTTCTTGAGTTATAAGTTTAAATATATGATTTATATATAATAAGTTTTAATCATAATAATAAATTGCAAAAATTATTTTGTTTTTTTTTTTTTTTTCTTTTCATTTCGCTTGATAAATATAAATTAAATGAAATGAATTTAAAAAGTTATACATCAATATTATTTTAATTTGTTAATTTTTTTTTTTTTTTCATCTTTTGCTATGTTTGTATATGGAAACATTTATATAGAGTTTGAAATCTTAAGGGGAGGAGTATAAGGGAGGGATTGTTGTTTTTTGTGTTTTATTTTTTTTTTTTACTTTCCAATAACTTACTTTTGGTTTTAAAAGTAAGTTGCTTTATAATCTTGTTTTTATCTGTTGTGATTTTTCTTTTTGCTTATTTTTAATAAATTTTATTTAATATATAATTTCATTATTTATATACTTATATTTTCTTGTTCTTCTTTTTTCATATATAAATGTAATTTTTCTTTAAATGTAATGCCTGCATTCGTCTTCTTTTAACTTTATTTTTTTGTTTTAAATTTATCGATGGAATCCGTTGTTTTTTGTTTTCAAATTCAAACCATTTCTTTTTCTTTCAAACATTTCTTTTATTGGAAAAAAATATTGCACTGTTTTTTAATTAAATTCTGCTTCTGTCAACCAATTTCTTTTAATAATCGGTTTAAATTTGTTGATTTTTAATATTCAGTTTCATATCTTTAATTATTTTAGCTTTAATCTTTTATTAAATGTTATTAATATACTAAAACGGATTCCATCGTTATTGTATCTCATTTATTATTCGAACCTGTATTTGTAGCAGTTGTTGCTTGTATTTGAGAGGCTGTTTGTGAAGCCGACTCTTGTGTGCGTCTAGCTAAACGAGATCTGTAAAGAATGTAAATATATTTAAAAAAAAATATTCTAAATTTTTAACTGCAAATGCTGGTCATACCTTATTTGTCCAGCTAATAATGGATTAATGGCATATAACCAATCATGTACTTCCTTATCGCCCAAGGTTTGTAACAGATAACCACGATGTTTGGTGACCACACTGTAAAGAAAGGAATTGTTAAGTGAAAATCTTTATACATATTTATGTATATCAGAAATAATATATTTTACAGTCTATCGTTTTGATTAGATTCTAGTCTATAGTCTGACCTATAGTCTAGTCTATAGTCTAGCCTATAGTCTAGTCTATAGTCTAGCCTATAGTCTAGTCTATAGTCCAGCCTATAGTCTAGTCTATAGTCTAGCCTATAGTCTAGTCTATAGTCTAGTCTATAGTCTAGTCTATAGTCTAGTCTATAGTCTAGTCTATAGTCTAGTCTATAGTCTAGTCTATAGTCTAGACTATAGTCTAGTCTATAGTCTAGCCTATAGTTTAGTCTATAGTGTAGTCTACAGTCTAGTCCATAGTCTTGTCTATAGTGTAGCTTATAGTCTAGTCTATCTATACTCTAGTCTATAGTTTAATCTATAGTCTGGTCTATAGTCTAGTCTATAGTCCAGGCTACCCTATAGTCTAGTCTATAGTCTAGACTATAGTCTAGTCTATAGTCTAGACTATAGTCTAGTCTATAGTCTAGACTATAGTCTAGTCTATAGTCTAGTCTATAGTTTAGTCTATAGTTTAGTCTATAGTGTAGTCTATAGTGTAGTCTACAGTTTAGTCCATAGTCTAGTCTATAGTCTAGTCTATAGTCTAGTCTATAGTCTAGTCTATAGTCTAGTCTATAGTCTAGTCTATAGTCTATAGTCTAGTCTATAGTCTAGTCTATAGTCTAGTCTATAGTCTAGTCTATAGTCTAGTCTACAGTCTAGTCTATAGTCTAGTCTATAGTCTAGTCTATAGTCTAGTCTATAGTCTAGTCTATAGTCTAGTCTATAGTCTAGTCTATAGTCTAGTCTATAGTCTAGTCTATAGTCTAGTCTACGCTAGTCTAGTCTAGTCTATAGTCTAGTCTATAGTCTAGTCTATAGTCTAGTCTATAGTCCTAGTCTATAGTCTAGTCTATAGTCTAGCTATAGTCTAGTCTATAGTCTAGTCTATAGTATAGTCTATAGTCTGTCTATAGTCTAGTCTATAGTCTAGTCTATAGTCTAGTCTATAGTCTAGTCTATAGTCTAGTCTATATCTAGTCTATAGTCTAGTCTATAGTCTAGTCTATAGTCTAGTCTATAGTCTAGTCTGATAGTCTAGTCATAGTCTAGTCTATAGTCTAGTCTATAGTCTAGTCTATAGTCTAGTCTAGTCTAGTCTATAGTCTAGTCTATAATCTAGTCTATAGTCTAATCTATAGTCTAGTCTATAGTCAAGTCTATAGTCTAGTCTATATCTAGTCTATAGTCTAGTCTATAATCTATTCTATAGTCTAGTTCTATAGTCTAGTCTATAGTCTATCTTAGTCTAGTCTATAGTCTAGTCTATAGTCTAGTCTATAGTCTAGTCTATATAGTCTAGTCTATAGTCTAGTCTATAGTCTAGTCTATAGTCTAGTCTATAGTCTAGTCTATAGTCTAGTCTATAGTCTAGTCTATAGTCTAGTCTATAGTCTAGTCTATAGTCTAGTCTATAGTCTAGTCTATAGTCTAGTCGTCTAGTCTATAGTTAAGTCTATAATCTAGTCTATAGTCTAGTCTATAGTCTAGTCTATAGTTAAGTCTATAGTCTAGTCTAGTCTATAGTCTAGTCTATAGTCTAGTCTATAGTCTAGTCTATAGTCTAGTCATAGTCTAGTCTATAGTCTAGTCTATAGTCTAGTCTATAGTCTAGTCTAGTCTATAGTCTAGTCTAGTCTATAGTCTAGTCTATAGTCTAGTCTAGTCTATAGTCTAGTCTATAGTCTAGTCTAGTCTATAGTCTAGTCTATAGTCTAGTCTATAGTCCAGTCTAGTCTATAGTCTAGTCTATAGTCTCGTCTATAGTCTAGTCTATAGTCTAGTCTATAGTCTAGTCTATAGTCTAGTCTATAGTCTAGTCTATAGTCTAGTCTATAGTCTAGTCTATAGTCTAGTCTATAGTCTAGTCTATAGTCTAGTCTATAGTCTAGTCTATAGTCTAGTCTATAGTCTAGTCTATAGTCTAGTCTATAGTCTAGTCTATAGTCTAGTCTATAGTCTAGTCTAAAGTCTAGTCTATAGTCTAGTCTATAGTCTAGTCTATAGTCTAGTCTATAGTCTAGTCTATAGTCTAGTCTATAGTCTAGTCTATAGTCTAGTCTATAGTCTAGTCTATAGTCTAGTCTATAGTCTAGTCTATAGTCTAGTCTATAGTCTAGTCTATAGTCGTCTATAGTCTAGTCTAGTCTATGTCTCTAGTCTATAGTCTAGTCTATAGTCTAGTCTATAGTCTAGACTAGTCTATAGTCTAGTCTATAGTCTAGTCTATAGTCTAGTCTATAGTCTAGTCTATAGTCTAGTCTATAGTCTAGTCTATAGTCTAGTCTATAGTCTAGTCTATAGTCTAGTCTATAGTCTATCTATAGTCTAGTCTATAGTCTAGTCTATAGTCTAGTCTATAGTCTAGTCTATAGTCTAGTCTATAGTCTAGTCTATAGTCTAGTCTATAGTCTAGTCTATAGTCTAGTCTATAGTCTAGTCTATAGTCTAGTCTATAGTCTAGTCTATAGTCTAGTCTATAGTCTAGTCTATAGTCTAGTCTATAGTCTAGTCTAGTCTATAGTCTAGTCTATAGTCTAGTCTATAGTCTAGTCTATAGTCTAGTCTATAGTCTAGTCTATAGTCTAGTCTATAGTCTAGTCTATAGTATAGTCTAGTCTATAGTCTAGACTAGTCTATAGTCTAGTCTATAGTCTAGTCTATAGTCTAGTCTATAGTCTAGTCTATAGTCTAGTCTATAGTCTAGTCTATAGTCTAGTCTAGTCTAGTCTATAGTCTAGTCTATAGTCTAGTCTATAGTCTAGTCTATAGTCTAGTCTATAGTCTAGTCTATAGTCTAGTCTATAGTCTAGTCTATAGTCTAGTCTATAGTCTAGTCTATAGTCTAGTCTTAGTCTAGTCTATAGTCTAGTCTATAGTATAGTCTATAGTCTAGTCTATAGTCTAGTCTATAGTCTAGTCTATAGGTCTAGTCTATAGTCTAGTCTATAGTCTCGTCTATAGTCTAGTCTATAGTCTAGTCTATAGTTAGTCTATAGTCTAGTCTATAGTCTAGTCTATAGTCTAGTCTATAGTCTAGTCTATAGTCTAGTCTATAGTCTAGTCTATAGTCTAGTCTATATGTCTAGTCTATAGTCTAGTCTATATCTAGTCTATAGTCTAGTCTATAGTCTAGTCTATAGTCTAGTCTATAGTCAGTCTAGTCTAGTCTAGTCTATAGTCTAGTTATAGTCTAGTCTATAGTCTAGTCTATAGTCTAGTCTATAGTCTAGTCTATAGTCTAGTTCTATAGTCTAGTCTATAGTCTAGTCTATAGTCTAGTCTATAGTCTATTCTATAGGTCTAGTTCTATAGTCTAGCCTATCGTCTAGTCTATAGTCGTCTATAGTCTAGTCTATAGTTTAGTCTATAGTCTAGTCTATAGTCTAGTCTATAGTCTAGTCTAGTCTATAGTCTAGTCAATAGTCTAGTGTAGCCTATAGTCTAGTCTATAGTCTAGTCTATAGTCTAGTCTATAGGTCTAGTCTATAGTCTAGTCTATAGTCTAGTCTATAGTCTAGTCTATAGTCTAGTCTATAGTCTAGTCTATAGTCTAGTCTATAGTCTAGTCTATAGTCTAGTCTATAGTCTAGTCTATAGTCTAGTCTATAGTCTAGTATATAGTCTAGTCTATAGTCTAGTCTATAGTCTAGTCTATAGTCTAGTCTTCTATAGTCTAGTCTATAGTCTAGTCTAGTCTATAGCCTAGTCTAGTCTATAGTCTAGTCTAGTATATAGTCCAGTCTAGTCTATAGTCTAGTCTATAGTATAGACTATAGTCTAGTCTATAGTCTAGTCTATAGTCTAGTCTATAGTCTAGTCTATAGTCTAGTCTATAGTCTAGTCTATAGTCTAGTCTATAGCCTAGTCTAGTCTATAGTCTAGTCTAGTCTAGTCTATAGTCTAGTCTTTAGTCTAGTCTATAGTCTAGACTATAGTCTAGTCTATAGTCTAGTCTATAGTCTAGTATAAAGTCTAGTCTATAGTCCAGCCTATAGTCTAGTCTATAGTCCACTCTATTGTCTAGTCTATAGTCTAGCCTATAGTCTAGTCTATAGTCTAGCCTATAGTCTAGTCTATAGTCTAGTCTATAGTCTAGTCTATAGTCTAGTCTATAGTCTAGTCTATAGTCTAGTCTATAGTCTAGTCTATAGTCTAGTCTATAGTCTAGTCTATAGTCTAGTCTATAGTCTAGTCTATAGTCTAGTCTATAGTCTAGTCTATAGTCTAGTCTATAGTCTAGTCTATAGTCTAGTCTATAGTCTAGTCTATAGTCTAGTCTATAGTCTAGTCTATAGTCTAGTCTATAGTCTAGTCTATAGTCTAGTCTATAGTCTAGTCTAGTCTAAGTCTAGTCTATAGTCTAGTCTATGGTCTAGTCTATAGTCTAGTCTATGTCTAGTCTGTAGTCTAGTCTATAGTCTAGTCTGTAGTCTAGTCTATAGTCTAGTCTATAGTCTAGTCTATAGTCTAGTCTATAATCTAGTCTATAGTCTAGTCTATAGTCTAGTATATACTCTAGTCTATAGTCTAGTCTATAGTCCAGTCTATAGTCTAGTCTATATTCTAGTCTATAGTCTAGTCTATAGTCTAGTCTATAGTCTAGTCTATAGTCTAGTCTATAGTCTAGTCTACAGTCTAGTCTATAGTCTAGTCTATAGTCTAGTCTATAGTCTAGTCTATAGTCTAGTCTATAGTCTAGTCTATAGTCTAGTCTATAGTCTAGTCTATAGTCTAGTCTATAGTCTAGTCTATAGTCTAGTCTATAGTCTAGTCTATAGTCTAGTCTATAGTCTAGTCTATAGTCTAGTCTATAGTCTAGTCTATAGTCTAGTCTATAGTCTAGTCAATAGTCTAGTAGTCTAGTCTATAGTCTAGTCTATAGTCTAG